TCTGGAAAAGTGTATTTGAAGTCGGGAAAGTGTTTGGGAGAAGTCCGGAGAGGTCAAAGGGCTGGATAAGGCCTGGAGAAATCTAGATAAGTCTGGATAAAGTCTGGATAAAGTCTTGCTAAGTCTGGAAAAGTCTGGATAAGTTTGGATAAAGTCTGGGAAAGAGCCAGAAAATTTCTAGAAACGTCTGGAAAAGGCTCTATTAGGTCTGAAGAAATCTAGACAAGTCTGGATAAAGTCTGGAAAAAATCTAGCTAAGCCTAGAAAAATCTGGATACAGTCTGGAAAAGCCTGGAAATTTCTGGAAACGTCTGGAAAAGGCTTAATAAGGTCTAGAGACATTCAGACAAGTTTGGATAAAGTCTGGAAAAGAGCCAGAAAATTTCTGGAAACGTCTGGAAAAGGCTCTATTAGGTCTGGAGAAATCTAGACAAGTCTGGATAAAGTCTGGAAAAATCTAGCCAAGTCTAGAAAAGTCTGGATAAAGTCTGGAAAAGCCTGGAAATTTCTGGTATCGTCTGGAAAAGGCTTGATAAGGTCTGAAGAAATTCAGACAAGTCTGGATAAAGTCTGGAAAAGTGTATTTGAAGTCGGGAAAGTGTTTGGGAGAAGTCCGGAGAGGTCAGAAAAGGGCTGGATAAGGTCTGGAGAAATCTAGACAAGTCTGGATAAAGTCTAGCTAAATCTGGAAAAGTCTGGATAAGTTTGGATACAGTCTGGAAAAGCCAGAAAATTTCTGGAAACGTCTGGAAAAGGCTCTATTAGGTCTGGAGAAATCTAGACAAGTCTGGATAAAGTCTGGAAAAATCCAGCCAAGTCTAGAAAAGTCTGGATAAAGTCTGGGAAAGTCTGGAAATGTCTGGAAACCTCTGGAAAAGGCTTGATAAGGTCTGGAGAAATTTTGACAAGTCTGCATAAAGTCTAGCTAAGTCTGGAAAAATCTGGATAAAGTCTGGAAATTTCTGGAAACGTCTGGAAAACGCATGGAAATTTCTGGATTGGGTCGGAAAAATTCTGGAAAATCTGGAAAGGGTTGAATTTTAGCGGATCTCAAAGCTCACAATAATCACAAGCATTAGCGTTGAAGTTTGCTTCGGCATTTTCAATGTTCTCCTCGGTTGCATCTTTGTGAAGGACTGTGAATTTGTTACTTATGTGACAATTCTCTGACAATATGCCTATTAGCTGTGCTATTAGATATTGCTCTGTAGATGGTTGTTTTTCAAAGCAAGGAAGTGGTTTAATATTTTTTCTAGGTCCAATAGAAGAATCTAGGTATGTATAGGGTTTTCCAATAGTAACGCTCGATGTTTGACAATAGCCCATGAAAAACTCGATAGTCACACAGGTGCTATCTTTGGCAGCCGTATTCAATTAGTCTCTGCATTTTATTATGGAGCGCTACACGATTGAGCAACGCGTCGGAATTGTTAAAAATTATTATCATTATCAAAACCAATGTTCTATTCGGAAAACGTTTCGTGCACTCCGTGCAATTTATGATGTCAACGATCGTCCTTCAGAATCCACAATTGGCCGACCTAACGTCACTGGATTTTTTTCTCTGGGCATTCTAAAATCCAAAGTCTATGTTGACAAATCTCGAACGGTTGCCGCCTTAAAGGCCAATATTAAGCACTTATTGCTGAAATTGAGCCATTTTTATGCGATAACGAACACTAAATGATTCTAACGACAATCTAAAATTGTCGGAGAAATGTATTGATAATTCGGATATTGTTGAAAACATCTATGAGAAGTAAAGTCCGTCGATTTTAATCTAATACTCGAAAGGAATGTGAGCTGGTGGCACCCTACATTTGAACGCCAATGGTCACCTAAGGTCACCCCTGGTTTTCGCTTCACCCCCTCGCTCCTCATACGAAAAGTCGACGAACAATACTAAAAGAAGGAAGATTCAGGGACTTGACCAAATCTGCAATACTTTCTGCAAGAAATGTTGATGTCGAAGAAATAAACGAATAAGTTGTCGAACTGTTGGACGTCAAGACCGAAAAACTCTACACCAGTATAGATAGTGTCAAGAACTGTGATAATAGTGATCTAAATGATGCTATTCTTCCAAAATATTTAAATTCGCTTAATCCGCCGAATTCCCGCTCCATGATTTACGATTGAAAACGAATTCTATTGTATGCTTATTAGAAATCTAAGCATCAGTGCAGGCCTTTGCAATGGCACAAGGCCTTTAGTTCTGGAACTTGGGGATAATCTGTTACGCTGTGAGATATTGACTGTAGATAAACAGGGAGAAATAGTGTTCATAAATCGAATAACACTCTACTGCGAAAACGTCTACCCCTTTACGTTCAAACAAAGACAATTTTAAAATAAAATTAGCCTTTGCAATGAGTTACGATTAACAAATCTCAAGGACAAACATTTGATAGGATAGTAATTGATCTCCAGAAAGGATGTATTAGTCACGGACAACTTTATGTGGCGCTTTTCAGAGTTCGTTCGTGGGACTCATTCAAACTTTATTCAGGGAAACAAAGAGGCAATAGTGTTGTCAAAAACCATGTTTTTAAAGAATTGTTTTTTTGATAATTTAATTTTGAAATTTCGCAGTCATAGGTGATTTCAGAAGATCTTTACAACTTATTTACAAGATATTTGAAGATCACAAGACAAAAACCTGAACAGGATAAACATAAATGATTGAAAATAACGAAGAACGACATGAAGACTTAGCACTCTTTAAACTTTGGATTCTTACGAGTTCCATAAAATAGAATAAGTTCCACTGGACATATGCACACCGTATATTCAAAAAATAAGATTGATTTAAAGTCATTACGATGTACCGCAAAAGTAATAATTCACCAACTACTTTGATCACATTTAAAATTTATGTCTACCACGTAGGTACAAACAAAAAATGTAAGTTGAATAATTGAGCAATTGAATTTAAAATCTTTTAAAAAATTTTTTTTTTCGATTGTTTGCAGTAAAATGTTGATCGAGTAGACTTCAATAACTGGCCTAATAAAAAAAAAGGAACTTCATGAAAATGTAAAAAAAAAATTAAGACTCGATATCTCGTATTATACCACAGCACATAAATAGTTACTAACTCGGTTTATAATAACACCTTGATTATGGTTATGATTATTCTGTTTTAAATAAACCACTTCGAATAATGTATACCTACACCTACGAGTTCCATAAAACAGAATGAGATAAGTAGACATACGCACACCGTACATTCAAGAAATGTGATCGATTTAAAATCATTATGATATACCATACAAAAATAATTAGTCACCAACTCCATCCATCGCATTTGAAATTTCTTCACTAGAATAACATCTATACAACTTATCTCACTGTTACATTTAATGTATAATGTACATTTAAATCAAAAATTATGCTGTTTTTTGTACAACACCTACCTAATAAATATTTTCCATTTTATAATTATTTTGATGGACTTGACCTAGTAAAGAAAAAGACACATATAATGACGCGCGATACCTGTGTGGAATGACTTTGATTGGTTCCACTTGTCAAATTGTGCAATTTCGGTTATGTTTCTGTTTTTGTTTATTTTTAAACGTAAATATGACAAAATACGTATTAACATTAATTAGAAAGAAAACCCACCGCAGCAAAAATGTTTGCAGCAAACCTTTAATTGTACATTATTATTGTATTTGATATAAAAATCGTTATTTTACGAACCCTCAAATCTCTGTCCCAACTTAAATCGTCTTCATTCGGGTTGAGACTGTTGAGAGCACGTTTTTAACTATTGTTTTCTTACAATTTGATTGCTTGGGAACTTGTGAAAAGAAAGGTTTCACTTCTTTTTCGCCCAATTCTGACAAGAACTCATTCAACTCATTTGAACCATTGTATCATAAACAGTTTTTGTATTAATTTTCAGCAATATTGATTGATACTGATTGATTATTGAGGTTAGCTTAAATATGTCAGGGTCAGACCGTGTTCAGTAAATTATTGACGATTTAATTATCTGTCACCCACAAGATGCGCGCACAGGTAAAATGAGAAAGGTCCATTCCACCATCCGGAAACGCCTATGTTCTGGACTGATTCGGACTCGGTCCAGAATATAATCCGCGAACAAAGCTCGCTAATATTAATATAAAGACGGGTTACTTTTGGTTAGTCTATGGGCGCTTCCCAGCGACATATTAACTTTGTTTCAACACAGCTGAAAACCCTATACAATTTACCCTCAAATTTACCCAAGGATAATACACACTACACACGGATTGCTTATCGTCTTTTTTTTGGGTTTCAAGGTCATCTGGTGTAGCACCGTTGCTACGACATCAACTATGTCGGCAGGCTGTTTGCGCCAGTGTTCGCAGTTTAGAATATTAAAGCAGGCGCCAGCAGAATTATAGCCTGTGGTGCAAACACCCTATGTCAAGGCAAGTCAAGGCGAGAAACGACACGCTGCACGTCATCACCGATACTTTGGCACTATTTCTCTTTCAACCCCCTGTAGATGCTTAAGGGTTGCTTTGCAAAATTTATGATTTTGGTGCAAAACTCGGAGAACAATTTGTGCTATTATACATCGAAATTTGGCGTGTGGGGGGGGGGGGGGGGTGACAACTATTTCTCTTTCAACCCTCTGTAGCGGCTTAAGAGTTGCGGTGCAAAATTTAATATTCATGGTGCAAAATGGTGCAAAACTCGGAGAACGATATGTGCTATTTTAAATTGAAATTTGGCGTGTGGGGGGGCCATGGTTAATTTGACCCCCCCCCCAGTAATACTTCTATATAGTCTCTCTCCTGAGGGGGTGCGAATTTTTTTTCGAGTGGTGCAAAACGGTGAAAAATGGGTGCAAAAAAATGGTATAAGTTTCAATGGATTTGGAAATATGGGGGGGGGGCTAACTTAACTGACCCGTCTAAACTCCTCATTTTACCTGCTCAAGTCAATGTCAGTGTCTATCTATAGTGTCCTCATACAGTGCCCACAGAACAGAGTGCCCTAAAATGGATGTCAGCGATGATGATGATCCTATGCAACGTTTATCTGATGATTTTTCAGCATGTTTATATAAAATAGCAAGTAAAGCACGAGGTATGTACAGTGCACAACCATAGTTATTCTAATTAGATACTGTAAAATGAAAATAACAAAATCGTCTTGAGAAATTCTACACAAAATGAAAGTCATGGAAAATAAATCATTTTTATAGTATAAGTTTGAGTAGGTACCTATTGAAGCTTTCTTATCTCCTTCGTCTCCTTCTTGACCTTCTTCAATTCTTAATTATTTACAAATTTCAATATAAGCCAATGCATTTTCTTCTGAATTTGGAGAATAATATTAGAATTTCCAGAGCTACATATAGTTGGGGAGCTGGCGTCAAAAACATGCAAGAGTTTTCGCAAGGCGGATATTTTCAAAATAGGTCGTACTTTAGTGCTAGAATACTAGTGTACAGTCAGCACTCACAGTTCCGGGACAGCTGGCTCTGGGACGCGGGCAAAGTTGTAATTTTAAGAAGCATCTAAACTGTTTTCTCAAAGCTCAAAATTTATAGAAATTTTGCACATTATCTGTTTGAATGTCACAGATAACGTATGTAAATCGTCAGACGTCTAGTTCGTTGCAAAAAGGGGGTCAGACGTCCTCAAAGTTCTTATTTTATGGCATTTTTTTCAAATACCTATATTTGTCAAATACCTGCAAAAATATATTTTGACAGGACACCGAAGAAAATGCCATAAAATAAGAACTTTGAGGACGTCTGACCCCCTTTTTGCAACGAACTAGACGTCTGACGATTTACATACGTTATCTGTGACATTCAAACAGATAATGTGCAAAATTTCTATAAATTTTGAGCTTTGAGAAAACAGTTTAGATGCTTCTTAAAATTACAACTTTGCCCGCGTCCCAGAGCCAGCTGTCCCGGAACTGTGAGTGTTGACTGTATACTAGCATTCTAGCACTAAAGTACGACCTATTTTGATGTGATGATCCAGAAATTTGACCCTATAATTACAAAGTCTTTACTGTAAAAATTAAATAAATAATCAAACAATCAAAAACTTAATTCCGGTATTTTGAAATCTGTATCGATAAATTAAAAATAAAAACCAACTAAGCAATCGTATTACGACACCCGGAAGTGTCATCTAAATTAAATTCTTAAAACAGATAAAAACGAGGACAGTATGACATCATTAATAACCGATCAATGAACTTTTTCGTTAGCGAAGGCCATGTGTAACTAATTAAATCGAATGAATTATGGCATTTTTTGAACCCAAAACGTTTTGACCTCGATAAATCAGTATATTACGACATAATTAGTCGATTTTTGGGCTACAAAAATGATAAAATATTCAAGGAAATTGCATCATTCTTTTAATAACAATGAGGGCGTCCAATGAAATTCGAAGTCCTAAGTTAACGACCGCCTATATTGACGATTTGGGGGAAATTTACTAATAACTTTTCGGGGAGAGCGAATTGATATAAAAAACTTGCAGAAGAGAGCTCCCGGTGATCTGAAGATAGTTGCCTGAAAACAGTTGAACAGCCTAGTCCAGTTGAAGTAAAGTCTGCCCAGTTTCGCGAAAAGTTACTTTTTATGGCCTATGGCCTCGGGTATAATTTAACTTAGAAAATGTACGGAAAATCGAGAAAGTAATATCATTTGAAATTCGTTCAAATAATTTTATGTGCGTGCTTAGCTAAATATTTTGAGTAGTTAATTAAGTAATTTTACGTGTGTTTTATGGACAAAAATGTAAGTACTTTATAGTGACAAGATTTATTTTGATGAACATGACTTTGAGTGATTAAACTCTGACTTTCTTTGCATAAAAACAAACTGAGTGATTTTTACTAGAAGTACTTTTGAATTTATAAACTTGAGGATTGCATTACTAGAAAAACTTTTGACTTTTAATTTAACAGTGGGACTTTATTGCCTTAAATAGTAATAACTCGAGTGTTTTATAAATGGAACATTATTGCATAACTTAATTACCTTCAGATATAATGACATTTAATGGTGAAAAGCGAATATGAAGAGTACTTATAATGCATTTAACAATATACAATTTCGAGTTGGAATTATGAATTAAACAGTTGAATTTATTAGCTAGGCATAGGAATCCGAAAATTCAATTTGTTCTAAGAAACTATTAACTGCAATAGGAAATTTTGAAAAGAAATTTGATGTCATAAAATAGAATTGTTTTCTTGAAATATTGGAAACTTGTTAAAAGGAAACTTATATTAGAATTTGTCCATGAAATAGAATTGTCTTAGAATATGGGAAAGCCGTTAAAAGAATTTATTGTCCATGAAATGAATTTTGAATTAGGGAGTTTATTTTACAAGTAGAAGTTATTGTAAGAACTTATGAGAATAAATTAGTTGTTAAACAAATAGGTAATTATTTTGGGTTTTCATAAGTAAAGGACTTAGAGATTTTAAGGAATTATTTGACTAGGTAAAGGGTAGTTATTAGGAATGATTCGGATGTAGTAAAATAAATAGAAATATTATTTTGAGAAATAGTATGAATAGGGCGTTTCTTATTAAGTAGGCATATTTCAGTGGTCCGTATAATAACAATATAGAACGGATGTGAAGTATTAATTTTACAGAATTAAAGAAGGATGTAAAGTATTGGGAGATATTTGGCTAATTGATTTTTGAGTTTTATGTGAAATAAAATATAATTTAGTACACCTCCTTAGTTTGTTTCTCTCTCTTGCAAATAGACCCTCTTCCACAGATTTTAGATAGCAAGCTCCAAGTATATAAACACCATCAATATACCGCTCGCCATTTACCATCTAACTAATTTACATAGTGTACTTAGGGCGTAATTGCTACATTGGTGTCAGGTGTGGGGTTGTCTATTATTTGTACATTGAGAGCAACTAAGAGGTTATTTTAATTGTATTGTGAAAGCATCGGTAGGGTTAATAATAATTTTTGAATTGAGAGAAACTGTAATTTTATTAGTTAAATTTGAGTTGACATTAAACAAGCGACGTTAAAAATGTCCAACCCTCCTAGCCCCGTACCACAATTCAACACCACCATGCCTAACCTTTTTATAGGATTAGATTCCATACCTACCTATGATGGAACTACTAGTGCTGAAGAATTTTTAAATGTCCTAGAAGAAACCAGTATTTTAGCTGACTGGACAGACACACAGAAAATTTCAGTAGCTCGATTGAAACTGAGATATCGAGCCAAGCAGTACATAGAGTCAGAGCCAACCCTGAAGACCACAACAAGCTGGGCTCTACTCAAGGACAGTTTAAAAACTCAATTTGGCAGGCATTATGTGAAAGGGACCGCTATGAAGCAGTTCATTGAATGCAAGCAACGAACAGGTGAAGCTTGTAGACAATACCTTACTAGATTGAAGGTATTGGAGCACCGGACCGCTACACTCACCGGAAATCCAGCAACAGATAAATTGCTGGAAGAGAAATTGCTCGGGGACATTGCTACTCAATTTACCCTAGGATTGTTGATGCCGATTAAACAACGTGTACTCTCAGGAAATCCAGCAACTTTGGACGAAGCATTAGAAATAGCTGAGAGGGAAGAATCGATCGAAAATTTTCTGAAGCCACACAGTCGCGAATGTCGCGGAATTATGAATAAAAAGAAGACAGCAGGCCCAAGCCGTCAGAACCGTTGGAACCGAGAAACGCCACAAGCTAGAAAAATGGTGTGCTACAATTGCAACCAGGAAGGTCACGTAAGACCAAATTGTCCAAAACTAAAGGACGTGAACAGACAAGGTAACAGAGGTGCGCTTGTTTGTTTCAGATGCCACAAGGAAGGGCATTTTGCTAAGAATTGCCGCACGGAAGTCGGCGCTTTTTCCCAGCAATCGGGAAATAGGCAGAATTTAAACTCGCACGCAGCCCCCTATCAACCCCGAGACGTGGCTGCCAACGAGGCAAGTTGGGATTAAATGAAGAAAAATGGGTAGGGATATATACATGCTCCAAAGTGAGAACCCCAGAAAGTTGTAATGTAGTAAGGATTAGGGTTAATGATAAGTCGTACCTAGCCTTAATAGATTCTGGAGCTGTAGTATCCCTAGTTAAGCCCGAGATTGCCAAGGGGTTCAAAAAGGAACAATGTGATGTAAATTTGGTAGATATACAGGACAATAAGATTCCTGTAAGAGGTATGGCAAATATACCTGTGATGTTCGACGGAGACATCGTTGTGAGACATAATTTTATTGTGGTGAATACAGATTCGTTAAGGGCAGATTTACTATTGGGAATAGATTTTCTGCGCCAATATGGTATTAAAGTAGATTGGCAGAACAACTGTATGTACGCTTTTGAGAAGCAAATCCAAATGTATGATGAAAATATTGATGCTGAGTATGCGATACAGAAAGAAGAAAAAGAGTGGATGAGCAAAGTTAGAAACTTGGAAATGGAGCTTTATGAGCTGAAAAATTATGTGAAAAATTTGGAGAGAAATGAAAATAGAGCTAATATGGAAGATAATGTAGGAAAAGAAGAGACGATGACATTTTCAAAAGGGAACGATCCGACGTCACTGCATATGATGAAGGATCAGGGTCTTACGGCGATATGCAGTCGCTGTGAAACCAAATCCAACTTACAGCTTGGAGCGACCCAGGAGAAAGTTATGACGTCATCAAGGAAACCGGCCGGTTCCAGAGAAATCCATAGATCCATTCCACTTCGACAGGATGAAGTTATTAGGGGTCCAGTGAAGGACGAGACTTTGTTGTTTCCATTAGAGAAAAACTTTAATGAAGGTCCAGTGAAGGACGAGATTTTGTTGTTTTCATTAGAGAAAAGCTTTAATGAAGGTCCAGTGAAGGACGAGATTTTGTTGTTTCCATTAGATAAAAACTCTAATGAAGGTCCAGTGAGAGACGAGATTTTGTTGGATGAAGGTTTTCCGGCGTCTCTGGGAGAGAAGGTTATTATACCGCCGATGATTGATGAAGTGTGCCATGGAACCCTACGCGGAACTTCAAGGGCTAAGGCTCAACACATTAAACAATGTGATGAAGTTTCGACAGGCTGGCCAGTAGC